ATGGGCCAGGAGCCGGGCCCGCGCAGCGAACGCACCCACAGGTAGAAGGTGAGCAGCATCGCCGCCATCGCAATACACTCATTGTCGTATTCGCCTGCCATGGAGCGTATCAGGTGGGCGGGGATGATGGCAAACAAGGATGCAGTTATGGCAGCGCCGGCAAATGAGCGTGATGACTCATAGGCCAAAAGCGCACATAAAATCGTAGAAATGCTCCCAAACCATGCGGGGATGTAAACGCACACATCGTTTATTGTCATGTTTACCCCCAGCATGGCAAGGACCCTGCGGATGGCGACGCTCGTGAGCTGCAGACCAGGATAGATGGTTGTGCCGACGGGCCTCCCAAGTGGGTACCAACTCATGTAGTCGTACCAGTGGAAAAAGGCGTACCACCCGTGCTCGTCAAGGTACTGCGACGCACGGAAGTTAAACCAGGGATCAAATTCATGAATGACTTTGCCGTACAAACTAACTGAAATCAAACGGATAGTGTAGGCTCGATATATGGCATGAACCACACAAAGTGTGGCGACCACTGCAACAAAATTTTTTTGCTGCATGATATTGAAGTGGATACCTTCCAAATAGGATCAGTGCAGGTGCAGCCATTTCTTTATGTGATGACTCAAGGGGGATGGCTATGCACTTATACGGTTTTTTTATTTGTATGCAGCGTAGGTATTTGTAGTGCTTGTGTGAGTTATGTCTGGAGTCACTCACAAATGGAGTTTTGTTTTTGTTTTGGGTGCCTGTTATTATGTTTTTTTTTGTTCTTGTTTTGTCTCTTCCTACGCTTCTGTGCAGGTGCGTGACAACCCGTCGTACCTCAAGCGCCTCCCTCCGTGTTACTTAGTTACTACTTACCGTATTTCGCCCGCGGCGGCCTGCAGGTCCACTCTCTTCGTTAACAATAATAGTAATTTACTCTTTCAAGTGTGTGGGAAAGAGACTAGCGACAAAGAGAAACTGTCAAGAAAGTCAAAGACGAAGAGGCGCAGCAACTGCCCACGTAGCGCGCCCCCGCCCCACCGACGCAGGAGGGCGAGAAGCGCAACGTGCGTGCGCGGGTGTGTGTGGAGGCAAAAAAGAATAGGAAGAAGAACGAGGCGGAGGAGGAGGAAGCAGTCACACACACAGAGACACACTGCTATCCCAAGGTTCAGCCCTGCATGCGTTGAGGCGTATGGTGGCCGCAGTTTCACCACCAAAAGCCCTTTCCCCAGCTGTCCGGACTCGCACGACATTACCAGCTCTTCGGCCAGCGAAGATTCCCCGCAGCCCGTAGGAAAACCGAAGACCTGGCGAAAAACTCGCCGTTTTGACAGCGGGCTCTGCGAGTGTGGGGCCTTGGGAATGAAAAGGGCTTCAGCCCGAGTACACAATTTCACCATCGCGGCCAAAAACAAACAAAAAAAAACGGGTCCAATTACCCGCGCACAGCCCAACTTGGGCCACACGCGAGAAAGCAGAACAAACCCCAGCTCCCAAACAGGGGAGCCATTCCTCCACCACGAAAAAGGATGCAGGAACACAGGCAGAGGCAGAGCACGGCGTTCGAGAAGCGGCGGTACGCAGGCATCAGACGCGTTGAGGTTGTACCACCGTCGCCGAGAAAGCGCACGTTGCCCCAGCAGGAAGATCGATGCCCCCCCCCCCCCTACCCGAACGCCCTGCACCAGCCAATCAACCCGGGGGTTGAGGGTCAAAGCCGCATCTACACGCCTCCCCTACCTCAACAGGAAAGACAATCAAATAGCAGGGTGGATGCAGACCAAAAATATATTCCCAACGGCACAGTGCAAGGAGGCAACGGACAGCTATCGTCAGCAGCAGAAGTTGGAGCATACAGGGCGTCCCACTATCATCTCCAGTTGAATCCTTCCATTCTCTCTCTCTCTCCATCGCTTATCTTCCTTTTTTTCTTCTTCTTTGAACGTTCCCTTCCCCATTCCGTTTGCGTCTCTCCCCTCTTTTTTTTTTTCTATATCTCTCTCTTCGCATCCTCTTTAAAGTTTATCTTTTCCTTGCTCTCTCCTCTTCACTCGAACGAACACCTCTAAACACACACAAACGCATAGAAACGTCTCCCCCCTCACTCTTCCACGCATATTGGCAAGCATGTATGCATACAAGTAAAAATAAGCTTATCTACGTCTACGTGTATGGGCTCAGTGGCGTAGATACGCGTGTGCACACCACACACACACTCAGACTCTGGCACGCATTCTTTTTTGTTTGTTTGTAAATCACACCCTTCAAAAACCACCGCACAATGCGTCACTTAGACCATCGGACAACAATACCACCACCGCCGCTGCTGCCGGCGCTGTTGTTTCTGCTGCTGTTGCACCACGGAGGATGGCAACTGCCGAAGTGTTGCCTCGGCGTGTTCTGAGGGGTGGGACAAAGACAGATTCAAAGACGGGGCACCACAAAAGGATGTTGATCCGCCGCCTCGTCATAAACACACAACCAAAAAGAAAAAATAAAAATAAAAATAAAATGCAGCCAAAAACAGAGCTTCGCATAAATACACCGCAAGCACCATACACAGACACGAGTAGCATACACACCCACACACAAAGATTATATATATATATATATCACAGAGGCGGTGGGAGAAAAGAAGGGGCCAACTTCGAGTAAACGATCCCAGTCAGCCACCACTGTAGAGGCAGGCGTGTAAGGTCGGTAACGGTGCCCCCCCTTTAGAAGACGCGTGGGAGGCGGTATGTGTGTGTGTGTGTGTGTGTGTATGTTTCTCTGTGCCTCTTATCGTCACGCAGGCACAGAGGTGTGTAGACCCGCACCGTACCCAGCCCGTGGCCTTTTGGGTTTTGTTTTCAGGAGTTGCGGTGCCGCCTTGTCGTCCTCCACCCATTTGCGTCGTTTTCCCTGCAGCCATACCGCTTCCTCCACTGCCTCCGTACACACTTCCGGATGCACCTCTCTCTCCTTCCCTCCCTCGGTGTGTATTTGTTTGTTTGTAGAGACGAAGGGCCTGTGCCGCTCGCCCCCCTCCCAATCCTCCCACCTCCACACACTTACGCTGGCGCATCAGCCAGCGCCTTAAGCACCAGGTTCGCCAGCTCGGCGGCGTGCAGTAGTCTCCCGTCCTGCAGCTTCGAAAAGATGAGCGTGTCGTCGAGAAACACCTCAAAGGCGCCGGACTGGAGGAGCTTCGCACCAATTATGTTCGCTAGAAACCCGCCGGCTATGACCTTCGCGCGGTTTTCTGCCACCCACGCTGTGATGTGGGGCGGAAGGACACCCGTCAGGAGCGGCGCACCGATCCCAATAACGAGAGCAACGAGGAACGTGAGAGAGAAGAGCGAGCCGAGCGTCTCCCACAGCGGGCCCACGGAGTAGACGGAGGGGTCAAACTTAATGCTGGGCCCCTGCTTCTCAATAGGCGGCAGGCTACGGGTGATGTGGTGTGCCATCTCCTCGTAGTGCCGCCGGTAGCCTCAGCCGGAGCAGTACTCCACCCGCAGCACGTGCTGCCGGCGGTGCCGCCGGATTTTCTCGACGAGCTTCTCCTTCTTGTGCAGCTCCACGAGAGCATTGATGAGCTGCTGTTTGGTATGCAGATGCTGGAACGGCTGCTGCTTTTCGTGCAGCATCTGCCGCAGGTCACCAACCTCAAGCATCTCAAGATGCTCGAAGGACGACGCAGCCACGTCAGCATCTGCATCTTCAGCACCGGCGCCAACAGGCGTAAACATCGCCGCATACAACACCACAAGTAGTACAACAAGGAAGGCGCATGGGCGGCGCATTTCTTTGATCCCCGAGGTGCAGACCCTTCACCTTGCACCGCTGCCTCTTCCTCCAACACACGTCCTTGTTGTGTTTGGCCTCGGCGGCGGCGGTGGTGGTGAAGCACGAGGCACGCAATAACAACAACAAAACAGGACCCCCCCCCCAATGTTGCTACGCACACAGCTGAGGCCCCACGTACCTACTTTCCACGCAAGCACGCAAAACACCAATAATAATAATAAAACAGCCGAAATTAGACAGCGAAGGGGATGGGGAATACCAAAGAAATGGGGAGAGGAAGAGAGCGAGTTCATGCAGACCGCATTACACACAGATATAGGCGGAAAGAGCATGTGTGAACGAGAGGAGTGAGTTTTTGGTAGATGCATGTGTATCCGTGGCACCCACACAGACAGAGAAAAGTATTTGGTCCCGCTGCTTCAGCGGCGGGAAATCATCCCCCTCGCACGCACTGCGGCATGAATCTATTCTGGTATTACTGATGCATCTATGATCCTCAGGCCTCTCTCTGTTCCTAGAAAAATTAATAACTAAATAAAACAAACTATTGCATCCTTCTTGCAAGCGCATATTCACTACTCACACTCTGTGGCTTTACGGCGCTCCGTTTTTGTTTTTATTTTTTTATGTTTTTCCTTTTTTTTTTTCACGCACGGTGTCACGTTCGTGGGGCATGTTGATGACCCCCCAAAACCTCAGCGAGATACATTCAACAAGAAACAAACAAACAAGTAAGCCTTCTAATATAAGTGAATAAATAATAATAATAATAATAAAACGGGCCGGCTGAACTCCCGCTCGATTGTTCTTGACCACTCTCTCTCTCTCTCTCTTTATTACTTTCCCCTTTCCCCTCTCACTGCCTCCCTGCGTGCATTTATGTATGCATGTAACTGCTGTTGCGCATGCGACACGGCCTCCTTTCCTCGCTGAGGAGTCCCTCTCTGGAGACACGTTGCAAACACACCACCCATAGGTGGCGCGAAGCACGTCCGTTTTCATCGCTGAACGACAGTTAGTCGTCTACCGTCACCGTCAGCAGCGGCCGTTCTTCGATGCGTGCAAAGAAACTCCGCATCTCCTCCACCCATGCGTCCGTCTGCGCCTTTCGCGCCTCCTCCGCTAGCCTTGATCGCTTGTGCCCCGCTGTCGCCGCCGCGTGTGACTCGGGGTCTTGCAGACGTTCTCCCGCGGTGCTGGCGTCTGTGACGGCGGGCACCACGGCCCCCGACGGAGAGGACACCAGCGACGGCGACGGGGCGTGGTGAGCGAAGGAGGAGGGCCGGCGCGCCAGCGGCAATCGCACCACCGCGTTGTCGTGCAAGCCAGCCACCGCATCCTCCCGCTCCTCGTCATCGTCGTCGTCTTCATTCTCCAGCGCGGTCCACAGCGGCGTGCGTGGGCTCGGCAGCGTATAACTTGGCCGCATGGATAACTCTCGGGACTCCGTTGGCGGGTCTCTCACTGGCAACAAAGGCGGCATGCGGTTCCACGGCGTTGGCGTCTGCGTTGCCAGCGACAACCGCGCTACTTCCGGTGATGGGGTTTGTTGCGCATGAGGCACAATCATTGCTGGAGTGGCCGTGGTGCCGCTCCGCCGGCCCTCCTCGTGAAGGGAGAGCCGACGGCGCACAACCGCGGGGGAGGAGTCGTGGTTCCACTCCGGTGGCCGCGGCGCACGGGTCAGAACCGTTGACGGTGTCACAGTCTTCGCGGCGTGGACGCCCACCTCCGCCGCCTCGTCGCGTTCTCCCCACACAAGATCGATGGAGACCTCACGGTTCCGCTGCTGGCCGTGCGTTGACGTGGGCGAGGCCCCCGCCGTCAGCGTGCTGTGCCGCGGCGTGGAGCCGCTCGTTATTGTTGCGGTGAGCCCATCTCCCAGCGGTGCGTCGAAGCTGCTCCCGCTCCAACTGCTCGTGTTCGTCACTGCAACGCCGGCGGAGACGTGTTTTGGGGCCGCCTCGTGTCGCACCGGCCACGTGCGTCGGGTGACGGTGAGGCCAACGTGTTCCAAGGCGTCCTCGCAGTCCTCCACCTCTTCGCTGGCGGTGCGGCGGCGCATCGTGCTGTGTGGCTGCTGAGTGTCTGTGTATGTGTGTTGCTAGCGCCTTCTCGCCTTGTGGCCTTCGCGTCGTCTCACTGATCTAAGCACTCTATCGTCTTGCTGCCAGCCACAGAGCCAGAGAGGAAAACAAAAAGTAAATAAAAGTAGATAAAATAAACATGGGTGTGTAAGTGGTGCGGTGTGAGAGGCAAATTGACGCGATACCCACCCACAACAACAAGAGCGCCAGCAGCGGAAAAGGTGTTAAGCGCCTAATGTAAGCGCACACAGCCGAGTGACTTCATATTTGGTGTGCGTGTATATAACTATACCTGCTTTTTTTTTCTTCTTCCCCTCTCCTCTTCCTGGTTTTAAGCCGTTCCTTTTCTTCTTATACTTAACGAGGCGTATTCGCTGAGTTTTTCGCAAATTTCCTTTCACCGCGCGTGACGTCCTCTTCCATGACCACGACCGCCGTTGCCACGTCCCCCCGCTCCGTCAACTCCTGCACTGCAGGCAACAGCAGACCCACTCCGGCCACCTTGCGGCAATCTGCCGCCGTCTGCCTGACTCTCGTACCGCGGCTTCTTCTGCATCGGCATCTTCCCCTTCTGCTGTCGCTGCTGGGGCCTTGTCTCACCCTTTCTGTGGCTGATGCCGTCACCGCTATGTGTGCCCTCCACGTCCACCGCGACGGATTCGCGCAGCCGGCGCAGACCACCGCGGACATCCTTCGACCACTTTTCTCCCTCCTCCTCCGTCATGTTGGCATCCACCAGCGCCGTCTTGGCAACGTCGCCGTAGCGGCGGGAGCTGCGTGTGGGGGCAACCTCGCGGAACCCGCGTTGCCGTCGCCGCTCCACCTTCATGCGATCTCGGCGGTTCGCATCTTCCCGTAGGTATGCCGCGTAGCAGCTCATGGGGACCAACATGTTGAGTTGTCGATCATCCCGCGAGAGAATTTCCTCCACACTGAGGGTGAAGTCCTCCGGTGCCACCTGGCGGTACTTAAAGCGGGTCTTGATGGCCCCGCCGTCCAGCGTTGCGTCGTGGTGCAGCTGCCAGTACTCCTTCTCCTTCTTTTCCAGCTCCGCCTGCAGCCGCTGCAGGGCCTCCTCCGCCTTGCCGCCCCCGCCCTGGCCGACCGCACTCTCCTGCTTCTGCTGCTGAATCATGTGCTCAATGTGTTCGCGACGTCCGTTCCCAAGCGAGGCCGCCTCTGCCGCCTGCATGACGGCCGACGGGTACAGCAGCGCCAGCGCCTCATCCACCTCGGGCACGTCCTCACGCTTCTTCTGCGCCCGCTTCGGCGGCCCCGCTGCAGTCATCCCCACCGTCTCCTCCAGCGAATGGGCTTTGTACCACGCCGGCTCCACTGCCTCTCCGTCCTCCTGCAGACCATCTGTGGCGTGGTTGCCCTCGCCATCCGCCTCCGTCTCCGCCTCGCTACCAGCCTCTTCCGCCTCCTCAAAAAAGGCCATTTCCTCCTCATCCACGTTGTTCTCATCGTAGTAGGCGTCGTCAAATATTTGCGCCATCTTCTTGTCAAACTTCTGCGGGTCAAACTCCTCCTCAAGGTCCTTTTCGCTCCAGAGGGCCTGAAGCCGGGCCATCGCCGCCTCCTCCTCGCCGTCATTATCGTCCCCCCGCAACCTCGCTTTTTCCTTCCTGCCACACAGACCACTTTCCTGGCTCTTTGCAATGCCGGCGACGGAGGCAATGAGGGCCCGCTGTGACTCAATCTCTTGCCGCTTCAGCGTCTTAAGCCGTCGCAGCTCCGCCACCTGCTGTTCCCGCAACTCCTTCATCCGCTCCAACCTGCGCAACCGGGCCTCCTTCCGCGAGGACTTGACGCTTTTCCGAAGTATCCCCGCCGCATTTTCGCCAATGGCGCGCGGAAACGTCTGTACATGGTCGGCCTCCTCCTCCTGGTGGCGGTAGGCGCGGTCCTGGTAGGCCCTCTCCCACGCTTCAGCCTCGGCGTAGAAACGCTCATCTTCCTCCGCCTGCGCCAATTCAGCCAGTGCGGCGTAGTGATTCTCTTCTTCTTCTTCTTCTGCCTCTTCTTCCTCCTCCTCATGGGAATTGCCCTCACGGTCTGCGTTCATCTCCGGCAGCGTTTGCCTTCGCCGCTTGTTATTCTTCGGTTTCCACAGTTCTCCCACGAAAAAGTCACGCAGAAAGGATTCATCAGGGTCGTCAGCTGCAGTTTTCCCGGCGTCCGCGTCACGGATCGAGAAGGCCCCCTCCAGCAACCGCTTCGCCTCTGACGACGTCTGCTGCTCGCCCTCCTCTGCCTTCTGCTGCGTGGTGACAACAACAGGCTGCACCTCAAACGCCTCCGTGCTCTCCGCGACATTCCGCAGAAATGACTCACGCAGTTGATGCTCCTTGGAGGTTTGTGGATGAATGCGGCGGTTCCCTTGCGGGTGCTGCTGGCCCCCATCGTCCCCGTCGGCACCCGCCTGGGCGCTTGCATGGGTCTCCACCCCCGTAACAACCCCGCGGCGGTACTCATCGGCGAGGGTAAACTTCTTCCGCTGCTCGCGCTTCTGCGCGATGGACCGCGTGAAGACTTCCGTGTTTTCACGCACCTGCTCCTCCGTCGGCGGGAAAAAAACGGACTGAGGCCCCAGCACGTCCTCCTCGCCGCCCTGCTGTTGCCGCTCCGCCTGTTGGACGGTGGACCGACGAATGGCGAGGAACGCCTTGGCAAACGCCAACTCCTTGTCCTCCGTCAGCAGCACCGCCTCGTCGTCCTCGTCGTCCTCATCTGTCTCATCCAACTCGTCGAGGTGAAGTCGTTTGCCGTACTTTTCAGTAAGCTGCTGGAGCTCCTTCCGCCGCTTCACCTCCTCGTACTTCGCGGCGTACTGTTTGTTGATGCGAATGCCGCCGCCGTCATCGTCACTTGTGCCGCTGTGTGTCAAGTGATTCGGTTTCCTCGCCGCCTTCGCGCCCGCCTGGGGCACCTGCGGCCGCTCCTCTTCGCCAGTGTCACTGTCTCTGCTGCTGCTGCTGCCATCGTCGAGCGCCGTCGTCATCGCAGTCCTCCTCCTTTTTTCACTGGTGGTAAACGGGGCGTGCGCGTGCGGGTCGCGGCGCCGCTCTCGCATGGCGGCGGCGGCCATCTGCTGCGCCAAAGCGTCACTTCCCGCGCCGTCCTTGTCGTCGTCGTCATCGGAGCTCGAAAAGAGGTCCTTCTTGGGCATTTATGCCGCCCGCTTTGCCTCTCTTTCTTTCTTTGGTTGCTTGTGTGTGCACGGCCGCCGCCTCCACCGCTCAGGTGCTCCTGCGAACTTCGCCCACCCCAACAGGAGCACACGCAGACAGGAAGACAGACAGAGAAAACAGTAAAACAGCATCATCGCACAGATAAAGTCAAAAAAAAAAAGAATAATAATAAAAAAACACACGGCGCCCACCCCGCACACACAACACCGGCAACGGCGGCCCTTGAGGGAGTGGCAAGTAGTAGTAACAACACCAGCAACACCCTGCGGCATTGCAGTGGGGAAGGAAATGCACGTCTATGTAATGGTCCATGCGAACCACCGCACACGAGGACCCGACGCTGACGCCACAAGTCCGCCCTTTTTTTTTGTTTTTTGTTCCTGTGTGCTAAATAACTCTAACAAATATCCCTCACTTTTTCTTTTCTTCCTCTGCCTCATTTCCTTCGCCCCCCACCTCCTTTTTGTACTCTCGCAGGCCGGACCAATATCGCTCCGCCGCAGGCAACACACATAAGCATCTGCGAGAATAAAAGGGAAGGCGGCGCGCGCCACCCACCGCGCCGCCAGCGGGTACAACGTCTACGCGTCCATCCATGCTTGCCAGGAAATGTTAGCAGTCGCACTGTTTAACATCGCCATCTACTCCCCTCGCAGGCGCACCCAGACGTCCATGTAGAATGCTAGCAGCTTTTCAATTGCTGTAAAGTGCACGGCCGTGAATAGCGGGGACAGGGACGCAGCACTCAAAAACATAAGTTCCACACTCTCCAGGGCAGAGGGTCCCGCATCAACCCCATCATGACCGTCCCTACTTGTGCGCCTCTGCTCGGCGTGTGCAACAAGTGCACGAATGGCCGCATCCCGCGTGGAAAAGCAACGTATGCAGCTGGACACCATACTCACCTCATAGCCAATAAAACCACCGATGCTGCGCAGTAGTTCCACTGCCCGCACTCCGCTGCCTTGTTCCACTCCCGCCTCAACACTACCGCAACTCCGCAGAAATTGCAAGTAGTCCGTCCACGTGAGCGGCACGGCGGGGGCGTCGTCGTAGAGCTTAAGCAGGCCCGTGGCATTCAGCACAGCACGACCATATAACATGTGGGCGAGCACTGTCAACGGATGCTGTACGAAACACTGTGCAATAAGTAAGGAGCAGACACGGTAGATGATGGCTCGCCAGATAACTCTAACCTCCGTCTCCGCCTTTTTGCGCTCCGCGGCCTCTAGACGACGACGAAGCCGCTCCGCGTTGCGTGGCTCCTCGCGGGAGTGTGCGCCAGGTCCTTCATGTGATGCCTTCGCCCCCACCCCCGCCATCTCTCTGAGAGACATGCGGCTGCTGTTCAGGCTTCCCGCAAAGCTGCCCGCACCATCCCCCCGTTCATCCTCGCTGTTTACATGGCTGGCGTTGTCGTCTTTGGCCTCCCCAGCGACCCTCACCCCCCGTCGTGCGTAGCGGCGCAGCAGCAAATACTCCGCGGCGTCTGCGGTGCCCACAATGGCGCGCTGGCAGAGCTGCGAGGCGGCCGGCACAATCATCATCTCCAGCACAACCCCCGCAAAGCCCATAGCGAGGCCTTTGCTGACGCCCGCGGGGGTATACCGCAGCGGCCCCGATACCGACGAGAAGTCCTGCACGCGGTTCAGCAGCATCGGCGTCAAGGCGCTGAACGCGATGGGGTCCGTGATTGTGCGGGCTGAGAGACTCAGGGACCACCCCAGCGCCTTTCGCCACGCGCGGCGGCTGCGAAGGTTGCGCACCACCAGGTTCGTCTCAAAAAAAAAGCGCTCCATCATATACTGCTGGGCGACGCCCAAGAGGAGACGCGCTGTGAGGAAGGAGAGCAAAAGACCGGGTGCAAACACCGCGTCCACGCCAAGGCACAACACCTGCCGCGCGGTCGCCCCGAGGTCACTGAAGTCCAGCAGCGGCAAAGTCTCCGCGTCAGTCTGAACTTGACAGAAGAAGCGGAGAACGGCGACCGGGGTGGCGCGCAGCACGTGCGTCAGAAGCACCATCTGCTTTGTGACGTCAATGCTGCGCCAATGCCTCCAGCCCTTTTGCCCATCGCCGTCGGTGCCACGTTCGCGACGGCCGCCGCTGCGACTTCGGTGGCGGTGCGTCCGTGACGCGTCCGTCGCACTTCGGTTCGGTACCGGCGGCGGCAACTCCCCGGTGGTGAAGGCCGACGCGTTCAGGCTTGTGTTGACCGACGCAGTACGGCTGCCGGGCCGACTTGACTGCTGCACCTGGCGACCCCGCTGCTGCTGCTTCTCCGTGGTGGCGTCGTCCCCGTTCCTTGAGCGGCGCTTCACCCGCTTGCGAACGAGCGTCTCAGGGCTAAAGGAGCGCACGGTGACGCAAAGCATGTCATACAGCAGCCGCGCAACGTTGATAGGGTGCAGCACGTCATAGTAAAACATCGTTGACGCCTTCTACAATCCCTCACTCGCTCACCCTCCTCCCGCCAGGGCTCTAAACGATCTATGATGAGAGTCGGTGTGCTGGTACACCCCCCACCCCCGTTTCCTTCCTTTCCTGGGACGCACACACACACACACACAGACATAGAGAGAGAGAGAGAGAGAGAGAGAGAGAGAGAGAGAGAGAGAGAGAGAGAGAGAGAGACGACGACGACGACG